TGATAGAAAAGTATCGGATATGAATTACTATAAAACAGGTCCAAAGCTTCATGGTAGCACAGTGCAATTGTCAAATCTTGAATATATGGGAAAGGTCTGGTCCAACAACGATGTTCTTGCAATTGTGTTTTAGTCCACTCACTTTCAGACTATCCATTGGTGGTATCACCATGACAAAGTTATCAGGAAAGAAGCCACAGCGTCCATTTAGCTCTCCCTCCCACCAGCCTTCATCTTCTGCTTCCTTCAGATGGAGATTAAAGAGTCACATTAGAAGCTCAAACGCGCTGTCCTTTGGGACGTAAAATTGCTGCACAAGAGGTTACCAAGCGGTCAAGCAAGACATGGCTGCCATATTATCAATTTATCACAGAAGGTATCTCAGAAATCTTCAGCATATGATTTGGAAAACTGCCACATTCATGTCATTAAAACAAATGTGCGTCATCTTTTGCACTGCACACATAATTTCCCTGAAAGTGTCAGAACTGGTTTGGCTAGGGTTAGGGTAAGAAAAGAAATGACACCCATAGGAGTTTGAGTCTGTTAAAACCATGACATCATGGGAAGACATGTTAGAAACAATGCAAGAAAATAACAGTGTGCTCAAACCTTTTTCAGTATCACAACAACATCTCCTTTTTTCAGATCCAATTCATCCTCTGCTTTGGCCTTGTAGTCAAACATTACTTGGCAACACTCAACCACTGAGAAGACAGTAAAAGAGATAACGTGAGCATTATAGTATATGTGTGACAGGAATAAAATGATGACTAATCTAATCATCCTTAGCTACAACCTTCCCATACTAACTCAAAGAATAACCGGAAAGAGGTTGTGACAGACTGGAGATAAAAGTTGTAAACCTTGATCCCTAAAAGATATTCCACTCTGAGGTAACCCTCTGTAACAGTGATTAATCAAGCCCAGCACTGTAAGTATTTTTATTTGACCCCACCTGTAAATCATTCACTTAGAAGTAAAGGAATTCCCGCTTCTCACATGTTGACGGTGTGTCTAAATAGACCTGTTTAGTTGCTTGTGCACTAAAAATAGAAACTGTCTAATGTCAGGGTAACCCTTTAGCATTCAGCCCATGATTGTGCAAACAGTTTAAGAACTAGAAAATACCTTATAGCAGCTTATGCTTTGACTTTAAAAAAACGTACCATTTCTTGCTTTGTTCCTCACACTTGCCCTCTGAGATATCTTTATGAGGACAAAAACAAACTACATTAAATCAAAGGTAAACAATTCATATACGTATCAGAAACGTTATTTCTACATTACGTACCTCCTTATTGAACACCATATCAGTGAGCTTGGGTCTTGCCTTGCCCTCATTCTGTTTGCCATCTGTGAAAAGAGTTTAACGGTTTAGATTATATGTACAGAACAAGGTACAAAAAAGTAAACAGACGTTTTGTCTTTACTAACCTTTAGGAGAAAAAATCTCTTTGACAAAATTTGACGGAAATGCTCCGACTTTGCCATTTTTCAGCCCCATCCACCATCCATCTTCAATCTGTTGTGTAGATTATATCAAGGAAAGTCAGAAAGTAGACAGGAAGAAAACGTAAAGACAAAGCATACACATTCCAAACATTACGATCATCTGATTACTTGATAGGCTAAAATCTCAGAACTTGTCAGATCAGTTCACATGCATTTAATGAGCACGGGAAACATGCTTTGTCACCCTAGCAGCCAAATACAAAGGGACTGTAATACACAAAGAATCAATGAATACCTTTTGAAAAATTCTCTTTATTTACCCACCAACGCCCTGATTTACATATAATGCTACGGCTTTGCCTACTGAGCAGCAAAGCAAGCAGGAGGTAAATGCCATGCTTCTGGGTAAGTAAACTGTAGGCTACCAGAGTTTTTTTTTCAGAGTATCACTATTTGGTTATGTGAGTTCAAATAGAGATGGGACTCTACCTCTTTGATGATCTCTATGGTGTCCCCAACATTCAGCTCCAGCTCATCTTCATTCATGGGGCTGTAGGCAAACTCTACCTGGCATTTCCTCGTTTGTTTCATCTTCTTCGCTGGAAAGACAAAGAATCACCAGCCACATCAACGGACCGATGTTAACTTTATAATCTACTGGTAATTCTGTTGGAGAAAGAGCTCAATAATGGTGTGTTTAGCTTGACAGGAGGCAGAGGAGTCAGTTCTCAACAGGACTGAAAGCACTTGGCACTCATTCACGTCTCTAACATGTCTAAGCCCTCAAAGGCACTTTTGGTTTTTATCTGCTCCATTTTCATACATTATAATCAGGATTTGTGTGGCGAGGATGTGGTAAACATATATTTACAGTCAGCTTGCTTGCTGCTGCACTGTCTTGCTGAATGCATGCACCACACTAACCACACTTTTAAACACAGTTACAATAGAAAAACCAACCTGTTTTGAATAGCAATATTTTCATGGTTTATTATTAGTGCAGCTTGTGCAAGCTAAGATAAAGGGTTTATTTTCAAATGTGTGCAGATTTTTTAACTGGATAATTAGTCTGAGTACAATAAATGTAATATAATTATCCCTGAAAATGACATAATGTGCCTGACACAAATGAAGAGTTTTATTCCAAATGGAGATAATGGGCCATTTGAAGTTACTGATACAATCTCTCAACAAACTGATATAATAGTTCACTCCACTCCACTCCATTGTTGAAAAATTACATTTAGGAGCAGATGTTTACTTACAAAATAGTTATGTTTCATTTTGAATAATACAATTTATATTGTATTGCAAATAAGTATTTGCCTGATAAAGGTCTTGGTTCAAATGTGTCACACTTATACGATAAAATTTGACAAAACATGGACCTTTGTAGTAATATGAATAGGTATGTTCTGCTTTCTAAGTGATAACAGTGAAGAAGTGCTGAGAATTTAGACTTAGCATTGTACTTTTTCTAAGGCTTCGTGGTTCCCTCTTGCTGTCACCTATCAAATAGACTGGCACCTCCTGTAATGAAAAACCAAAATGGGGCATATTTTAACATACTTGAACACATGTAAACACACAGCACAGTGTCTGCACAATACTGTGGCCAGTATAGCGTTAGCAGACCTTGACAAAGTTAGCGGGAAAGATGCCTCTCTTTCCTCCCAGCTCGCCCTCCAGCCATCCCTCCTCGCTGGCCTTGGTGACCTTTTTGACCACATCCCCCATCCTCACTGTGATCTCGTCTGCCTCGTTGCCCTCGAAGTCGATCAGCACCAGCACCTCTACAGTGCAACCGTAAGTGGGGCAGAAAATTAGATTCTTTGCACAAATGCTGGTGTACTTGCTTTACAAGTGATCTGTTCTGACATTTTAAAACCAAGACAAACCTCTAAGCAGGGGAGTATAACCAAGGATATGGGCTTTGAGCAAATTACAGATTAACTGTACAGTTTTCTTATTTTGTAGTAAAAGAAGTAAGACATTTTCTTAGTAAGTATTTCCCTGCAGCATTATGAGAATTTAAGACAACTGAAAAAAACAATAAATCTTAAAAGTCTGCAAGTGTAAGTAGGTATTCCAACACTGACTGAAAACTCATAAAATAAGATTACCCTAATTTTCCACATATATACAAATACATACTGATTCTATGCAAAGTAATGCAGATGAATCCATATACATTGGTTTAGTTTTATTTGCATGTCAAATTAAAGTATCTATCAGATCAACAGCATTTTGTTCAGTCACAAAAAAACTTTCATTACTTCACGCTTACTCTTTGTGTTTTACCATCAAATCTCCAAAAGTCCAACAAACAGCTGAAAGAATTAAAACATCAGTAAATTCCACTACTAGGCCAACATAAGAAAATATAATGACACCGACTTACCCATGGTGTCTTTGTGTCTTTCTCCTTCAGATTTGAATATGTAATTCCTTCACAAAGCAGCAAGCAAACTCTTGAGTAGAAGGAGAACTGAAAAAGTGCGGTTGTGTTGTCTAAGACGAAGAGATATGGCAGCCAAGGCCCTTCTTCCTACTTGTCAAACATTAACATTGAGCAACTTTTCCTGAGGCTAGTCATGGCAAGTCTGTAGCAAGGAGTAGGATGGGTCATATTGTACAGAGAGAGAGGGGGAGAGAGAGAGAGAGAGAGAGAGAGAAGGAGGAGAGAGAGGGGAAATGGAGAAGAACAGGTAAGACAGGTTTATAGTGAAAGAACAAAGCTTATAATAAGTGAGGCTTAAACATGACAACATGGTTCATCTGCAGAAATGGAAATATCTGAACACAAAAGTCAGCATTCACAAGCAGGACAATTAAAAATGTAATTCAGGTTTGTTGTACACATTCATATATCTTCGTATTTTTGTCGGTAATGGTGTTGTTGTTTTTGTACAGCCCTTGAGGCAAACTGGCTGGCCATTTATAGAAAGCAGAACCAGGTTGCGCAAGACTGAATTTGACATACCAAAATAACACATGGCAAAGAATAGTAACAAAATAAATATTATAGGAAGATAAAACGCACTTTCTTACATATAGGCTGTAGATGTAGAAATTCATGCTGCTTCCCTTTTTTTTGCTCAACTTCATATGCTGGGTCATCAGACTAATTATAATATATAGAGAACCGTTCCACTCCAGTACTTCCCCATCCTACCTGTTGAATGTTAGTAAATGAGTCCTCTCAGTCTAGTTCAACGTTGTGTAGGTGAGCGTATGGATTTTTTTTTACTGATCAAGGACTTTCATCAAAGTGAGCTGACCCCGGTGGTCTGGGTACTGTTGTTTCACATTAGGACATGGGTACAGCTTGTCAAAGTATAATTGATCAACTATACTGCTGCTGATTGTACTATGTGTTCAGTGTCCCTCTGGTGTCACTGTGCAAACTGGTGGACATCAAACCACAGCTTCCTTCCCAAGAGAAAACTACAGTGACTGCCGTAAAGTGGATTTTCAAATAATAAACCAGAATTGCTCTTACACCTAAGAGAAATTACAATAAAAAAGACACATCAAGGCAAACATTAAAGTAATCAGTGTCTCTTTAATTTACAGTCTCTAAGAAAAAAACAGTAACAACACCTATTTTATAAAAGCAATATTCCCTAAGCAGGTAACCATTAAACAATTCAATCTTAATCTTTAGGCCTGAATTGTACAAATATAACCAGCGCGACCACAGCAAGGCACAAAAATGTAATTCAATTGTATGGGCAGTTTCCCAAAAAGACATGAGTCTAATCCTAGGGTTAAGGAAATAAATCATTGCAGATATGCACTGAAAAAATATTGTTATTCTAAGATTAGACAAACTATAATTCTTGTCAAACACACTACCCTGTATTTTTTTTCTACTAAACTACTTCAATGCTAATTTTTAGCCTCTTTTATCACAATGACACAGTTGCACACAATTTGTGTAATTGATTAAATCATCATTAGCTGAAGAAATGTTTGAAATTAGCAAATGAAAAACACATTACAGTCTAAAGCATTAAGAACAAATTCACCTTTACAAAGTCAAAATCCCGCCTGCCTAAGCAGGTACAAAAACTACAATGAATGTCTTTGGAGGAAAACATATAATCACTATCAATATTATACATTGATAAGTGGTATCCAAAATCAATCAAAGAGCTACTTTAAAGTATAGACATCTTTGACAGCAAAATGTTTAATGAACATGTTAAATGTACAGGTAGTTATCCTTGTAACAGTCTCCTATGCTGCAAGCTAGTATTGTAGATCTGTTGAATGTTGTGTAATGAAAGACTGCAAGTGTAACCTGCGACCCCATACAGTTTGGTCCCATTGTCAGATCAGGGTCATTGTGGAGCGCTGAATTGGCTAAACAGTGATGTTTTCAATGTCAACATGAACTACAGTGTACTTCTTGCTGTCATTATAATCCAGACACATTTCAAAACAACAAGCCTGCTTTTCTTTTTTTTTTTAACTCATAGTTGGGTAATTGGAGTAGATTTTAATGCATTCATCAGTACTCATATTTATTGTGTATCCCACTCACAAAACATTTCTTTATTTGCAAGACACAAGCTGATTTGATCTACAAAGTGATCTTCTCTTGCTACTTAAAAATACAAATGTCATTGAGGACTCTTTTTTTTTTATCATCAACGTGTAAAAACTACCAAAATCCCCAGGAAAAAATTACACTTTACTATATAAAGCAAAAAAAGACAAAACATGTAACATAATCTGAAATCTTATGAGAAACAGCAGTTCACCCCGAAACAGTGCTTCTACTAATTATGAGTTGTAATCCTTGTGTGGAAAATGGTCAGCTCAAGTCCGAATGAGTATCCTACGATAAAATTAAAGCATAAAAGTCTTATTAGTGATAGCTTAGTCTTAAAAATTTTAATCTGAATTAATGAATCCATAGTGATGGATAGAATTCAGAGTCAGATCCCCTAATAACAGACGTAAATTTAGATTTTCAGCACATTGCTTCACTGCTCAAGTATTCTCTCCATCAATTTCTCCTTTATGGTCCTGTTCTGTCTCTTCCTCCTCGCCACCTTGCTCCCCATTGACCTGGAACTTGTCATGGGCCCATTTGGGGCTGATGGTGTTAGTGTTGGTTTTGCGGATGAGGAATCGTGCCCTTCCACGCAAGAAGCCTCCCCGGCCTCGCCCTCTGTTGTCCACCAACTTGAACATTGTCTCCCCATCTCTGTCATCGTGCTGTGGTAAAAGGCAGAAGAGGTAGAGGTGTGTCAAGACAAGAACTGACCCTTCCTAAGTCCCAACCCTTTCCGTCCTGTGCTCCAGTTGAGCAAGCCTTGGTCAGGATCTCGGCCAACTTTCTCCTCTCCTGTAGATATGCTATGTGCTAGGCTCGTCTATGTTTAAAAGACAACCACATTTTGAACATGATTAAAAGATAAAAGCAACAAAAGCATCTTTTCAACATAGACGAGCCTAGCACATGGCATATCTAACTAGCTACAGGAAAGGAGAAGTTGGCAGTGATTCTAAAAGGTGCAGGACTCAAATGCAGAAGTAGAAACTTCTAAATTAGAGTTAACAAAACCATGTAGTTAATTTAAACAAACATTGGAGGCATGAATGGGAAAGACATCAACCCTACCAAGTAGTATTTTCTGCTCTTGGGAGTGTACTCTGGGTCCCAGTCTTCATTTTTTGGGTGTATTGCCACATTTGGCATGTTGTTACTTTGTGAACAGTTTCCCTGATAATTGCCTCGGTTCCAGCCCCTTCCACGAATTCGGACTTGCTGTAATTAGGGAAAAAGACATGGAACCAAAAATCATTGATACAGCAAATTAGTAAAGTAAAAAATACAGTGTAACTTGACACAACCATTGCTCAAGACTATGCTCCTCAATCAACATCATGCATCACACTTACAAATCCTCCACGTGGCCTTCCTCTTTCAACTAATGCTAGTGACTCCCTTTGACCCAGTCGGGACCTGTCAAAGGCTTTATCTTTGGGTTCAGACTTGCCATGGGACAAATCATCTTTTTGGGACTTGGAAGATGAGGAAGACGAGGACGAACTCGAGCGAGAGCGCTTCTTCTTACTTTTCCTAAAAAGATAAATGATACACACAAAATTCTTCATGCCTACCTGTTTATCATGCAAGGCAGATGAACAACATTTGTTTGAAAGAATACAAGGTACAGGGCAGTTGCACATACTTTGATTTCTCGTGGCATTTGGAGAACTTTTCCACAGATCTCTCTCTACTAGAATCTGGGGAATCTCCAATATCTCTTCCCTGATCCTGATTATAATCTCTTTCATGGGTGGGATATTTTTTACGGCGCTCTATATCCAAACGAAGATCCATTGGCTCACCCTTCATTTTTTCCCCGCCGTCCTGAGCAAATCAAAACAGAACACAACGTCGTGGACAGACTTTGGATTAGCATGTAGATCAGTCTGCTCTCAGCCAGCTGGTTTGTAAATTTAATAGTCCATGGGTAAGGGGGGGGGGGAATCCCAGGTAACAGCCAGCTGGCTTAGATAAAAACATGTAAATTTTCCCCAGTGCACTTAAAGGGCCAAACCAGTAGTTTTGCATGTTTTTATGATTACCTACAAATCTGTACAATTCCCCAAAGCAGGTTTTTATAAAAGTTTTTTTTGGCATTCAAGGCAGCTATTTCAATATGGTAAGTAAATGTACTTGAAAAAAAATCTCAGATAGGCAATCCATCACAGCAACATGCAGTCACTTTATTTAGCGCCAAAGTTAAGTTATCTCAAAGTCAACCGTCAGAAGAGTGTGTTTTGAAAACCTCCACACTGGTGCATTCAAATGCTTGTGGGAAAGTCCAGGATCCAAGGCTTCAAGAATCAGCACCAGCATACTTCACATCATCCTTGCTTGTTGGTCTTCCATGTGTAATATGACCTCCAGCAGCCTCAGCGACATAGTGCTTTCAGGTATTCATAACCAAGTGTTTTCAAAACATTCCCTGAATGTGCACAGTGATGCATTTCCTATTTGAAAGAAGTTTCAAGTCACTGCAAGTTGATTATCAGACTTTACTGACATAAACTGAAACAAATAGCTGCCTGGAAGGTGGGAAACCAATCTAAAAAACTTTGAGATATGCTTTGGGAAATAGTTGCTTGTATGTACTATTAAGTATACGCATTTCTTAGTTGTTGACTTACTGTATGGCTGGCAAAACCACTAGTATGGTTCTTTAACAATGGAAGAAGATAGGACTGTTCATTCATGCTAATTTAAGTTTACTCAGTTTAATGCTCTTTAGTAGTATCTGCGCCTCATGTTTTTAAATGCTTGACCATATGTGTCCATGCGCATCAATAAGGAAATATTGTGAGAGTTTACTCAGAAAGTTAAGCATGTAAATATAAGCACAGGTGCATAGAGTGCTTGCTGTTGGTTATTTCCGTTCCTTATTTTTTTAAAGAATACTTACGAAGACAATTGCTTAGTCCTTTGAACAGCTTTGGCACAGTGGCTTCCATTTCTGAACTTTAATGATTCATTAGCCTTGGTCAGGCTTGTGCCCACAGTCTAACCATGTGTGAAGGCGATATATAACAAACAACAAAGTCAAAGTGCCTTATTTTGCATTTGCATTTCTTAGACTTTGTGCATCTCCCTTCAAGGACAGCCACAGGCTTTAAGAGAGTGCAGTCTAAAGGCATCTGGCTTGCTCACTCGTTCTGGTTGTTTGTTTTTCCAACATACTTCATACTGCAAAATGTTCAGTCACCTTGTAAGTGCCATCCTCTGAGCTTTTCATCGCCTCAAAAAGTTGAGAGTGTTTCTTAAAAGCTCTTGGCGAAACATCAATTCTCCTGCAAAAGAAACACAGTTAAGACAAGATGATTAAATGCACAGGAACCACAGTAAAGGTGCCAAAAAAAACAACTGTAAGCTACATTGAACTGCGAAGACGACATAAAACAGAAAAAAGAAAAGAAAAATTGGTGGGAAAACAAAACTGACCTCCACCGAGCATGAGAACAAATAAGCCAAGATAGTCTGTTGATTTTCAGGTAGGAAAGGTGAGAAAAATACCTGAAAGCTGTTAAAAGAAGAGGTGAAGCCACAGCACACTGAAGGTGAGAGGGTCACTCAATAGGCGACTCTACCTGTGTATCTCTGGGCTTTTTCTTGGCTTCATCATTTCCTTCTCTGCAGCTCGTCTTTGGTACATGGTGAATCGCTCGTTTAGAGTCATTCCAGAAGATGGAAAGTGCTGAGCTGTACAGGGAGACAGGAAAAACAGCTGTTAAAGTTGTTAGTGTTTCTACTGTGTCACATTTTCATCCAACTGGGCTGCTGCATTGAATTGAATATCGCTATGTGCTATAGTATTTTATATAAAAATGAAAGGTTACATGGTCATGTGTTGAGTAGCTTTGAAGGCCAATTCAAAAAAGGAGTTTGTCCGTTCCTAAAATAAAACTGTTAGATTACTCCACTCTTTGTAATTAATACTCGGACAGCATGAGAAGTGAGGACTCACCTTTAATGTGGTGAACAATAGTGACAATGTGTTGAGCAAACAGCTCAGAGGGACTCCTCTTTAATGGAGCATTCTGAACATGTTGAAAGATGGAGCGAAACTCCTGATCCTTTTTTGAGGACTGCACAAGATCCTGAGACAACTGTCGCTCCTCAGCTAAAATATCTGAAGAGCTGAAAATGACAAAAAAAACATGTTCTGTTGCTTTTACACAACAAAGGCAAATAACAGAAAATATGTTGCACTTCAATCAGACAAAACAACGAAACAATTGGTGAAAATGTATTTTTTATATATAATTTTCATCATCATTTTAGAGCAAATCTGCTGGTACTGTTGCAAAGTCTACAGCCAGATGTACAGATATATTGGACTGTATAATGTACTGAGGAAAGACCTGGTGTGGGACCAGAAACCATTATGTGATGCTCACCTCATCAGGCTATCTCCAAGAAGATCCATCCGGACATTTAATTTTGCTTCCTGTTGTCTTGAGGACATGAAAGGTGAGTACTCACTCCTCATCATAAACATCTCTCTGTCAGAGTTTATCCTTGGTGGTGGTGTAGGTGATGGGATGGAGGGAGATTTTGCCATCTTCCTGGCTTTACCACCCATGTCTGTGGACAGTTCCTCAAACTTTCCTGCTAGCTCCTTCTTGGCGAGGGCAGCAGCAATGGCTGCTGCTTTGTCCTGCTTTCGGCTGAGATATATGTCCTCTGCCATGGAGTCAAGGTCACTGTTGGCTACCTGTGAATAGGCCACATTCTGCCATTTGCCAAAGCATTCTTCAAACAGTTCCCGAGCCGAATGAGTGACCTTGCTCTTTGGCTTAGAGGACTCGTCCCCATTGTGCTTGTCTTTGTGAAGTGACTTTGAAAGAGGCTTGGTTAGCTCCTCTTCTTCCTCCCCATCAGCAGACAGAAAAGGAGAAGCTTTCAAAAAGCTGCTTAAAGACACTTCACCATCAATGTCCTCTTTGTACTTTTTTGACACTGAGTCAGAGATAATTGCAGATGCTTTGCCATTTACTTTGCCTTGTTCCATATCCACATCATTGGCTTCTGTGTTCTTGCCATTTTCCCAAGATTTTGCTTTTTTATTTTGCTCTTCCAAAAACCTAAACAATGACAAAGAGATAAAGACCTGAACTGAACTGGGCATGCAACAGCGGAATTAAACTTAAACTAATTGATTATCTCACAAGATTCTGTGAGAAATGTGTCAAATAAGTATTTTATCTATGGAAATAAAGATATGAAAGCATAAGGGATTTCAATGAACAACATGGCAAACATTTTGAATCACCTGAATACCTAAATTTTATTTTAGTCTGTTATGAAAACAACGCTTGACAACCTAAAGATTGCAAAGTCGAGCATATGCCAGCATAAAGTGTCTGTGCTGTCTAAAAAAGGCATAAGAAAGCATTTAAGCAACAAATCATAATATTTTATCTGTATATATTAATTTAGCAAAAACAATGTCAGAAATAAATTGAGTAAAATAAAATTATTCTTACTTTCCGAAGGCAATGGAGATCGCCGTTTTATCTCCATCCAGGTATTCCTCGTTGGAGAAGAAGTCAAAGCTGGAAAGCATTGGATTTAGACCTTCATGAAGGTTTTTTTTTGTTGAGGATGAACTACACACAGTCTGCCAGGAGGGGGCGCCATTGCTGATATCATTGGTGATTTTAGGGGCGGGACTAGACCGGTTAGGAGTTTGGCTGTTCTGACCAACAATAACAGCAGAGCTTGCCAGAGCACTCATTCTTTTTGGACTGCTGCTGCAGTCTTTCAGGCCCTGCCAGTTCCCCTCAGTTTTCCCACTGCCTGCGCCTTCTTTGGCATCTCCTGCTAACACCCCAATGAGCTCCGCTGCCTCCCCATCTCCCCCTCCTCCCTTTTGGACCTCCTTGGAGGCTGAGAATTCCTCTTTCACATCTTTAGAGTTTTGTTTAGTCGGCAACAAGGTTTCCCTACATTTAGGAGAGGAGGAGTGTGAGGAAGAGGAAGAATGGTGTGAGTGTCTGGATAATGGCGAGGAGGATCGGTCAGAGTGGTGAGAGTGACCACGAGGGGGGCTTCCTGAGTGTTTCTGGAGGTTGTGAAATCGCCCTCGTGAATAGTTTTGCTGCTGCTGTTGCTGCTGTTGCTGTTTTTGAGGGTGTTGCTTGTAATTCTTCCAGTTGGGGCGGAAGTTGTTGTTATTGTTATAGCCACCACCACACCCACCACCTCCACGTTGGTAGCGTCCACGTGGGAAATAGCCCCGCCCTCGGCCCCTGAAGTTGTATGGCCTCCGGAAGCCACGGTGGTAGCCCCGGAACTCACGATTGTTTTGGTATCCTCTCGGATATTTCTTCTCCCGGTTATGAGGTGGAGAATGAGATCTTGACCGTGACCGAGACCTAGAGCTGTGAACGAAAGGAAAGGGGAGAAAAGAAAAGCACATAGTTATTAATTAACTCCCATTATTATAACATTAGTAGATATGCATAACAAACATGTAGTTTCTTTGGGTTTCTGACCCAAAGAGTAATGCAGTCCAATACAAACATTTCTATCATACAATCTTAACATTTTCCTAACAGACAGACAGATGCATACATACATACATACATACATAAGACCTGCTTTGTGTGTTCTCATGAAGCCCACTGACATAATGCAAATGTAATTACAACCTTAGCAGATACCACTTAAATTAATCAATACATTTTTAAAAAAAAACATAACATATGGAAAAGACATACATGTCACAATAAAACATGTATATAAAGATGAGCAGTTGCATCCAGTATCCATATGTCATTTGAAATATAAAAAACATATGCTAGTATGCAGGAACCCACAAAGGAGCACTGCATGGAGAAAAGCAGAGATTTCAGCATGTTACTGAGCCAGGCTGCAGGGTCAGACTGGTCCACACGGTGGCTCTGCTGCACTTCTGATAAACAGCCTTGTGCTGTACTCCAGTCTGAACCTTAAACACAGTCTTAAAGAGTACAACCGTGATCCAGTATGTTCTCTTCTTCAAGTCAATGATTTAATGAGCGCATCATGCTCTTTTCAAGCCAAACTGTAGCTCAGCACAACATCCACTACTTTGCACATTTTGAGATTTTGAATGTAGCAAATCTAGTGTCATCAAAATAGTTCTTCTGGAAGCACTAGATCTACAACTACATCTTCAGCAACTTTTCTACAACTGTCAGTAATTAAAAATTGACTCCTCAGCTGGTTTTCCTATGAGAATATTGATGTAATATAAAGACCTACAGAAATGTCTAGGTATATTAGGGACTTTACAAATGTATCAAATCCTACAGTATTTTGCTGAACAATATCCTGAATTAGCAGAGCAAAGCAGCACCACAGCACATGCAAACATGCCTTATAAAAAAAAAGCTAAAGGACTCACCTATCGTGTTTTTTCATTGGAATTCAGCGTGATTAAAGAAGGCAGCCCACTGAGCAGCACTGCACACTCACAGTGCGAGCTACAGATACTACATCTCCTCTGGCCAGCTCTGGTGGAGCAGAGCGTCACATGGACCATAGGAGGGGAAAAAAATCTACTGGAATCCTTTTTGACTCTATGCTTGCCAACTACACGAGCTGTTCAAACGGTTTACTGAGGCATTATAAAAAGACAAATTAGACACAAGTTACTATTCTGACTGCAAAATACTTAAAATATCAACATCCTATTGAGGTCTTAGTGATATATTTCGGCAATATATATTATAGCTTCTCCTATTAAACTATTAAAACGTGTTATAAGTCACTAAGCATAGTTCAGAGTGAGTGTTTTTGCTGAGACACTGTCTACATCTGTGGCCCATTTAAGTACTGAGGTAATAGTGTTAAAAGCAAGAGATGGTGACTGTGAGAGGGAAGTCAAGAAAAAGCTCCAAATTGAATCTGTTTTAGGTTATCAGACCTGTCAACATGTTGGGGATGTTTTGCCAAGGAGATATAGAGAATGTCGCTTTTTTTGGGTGTTAGTGTGCGAGGCTGTGTTTATATACAACTTATGCAAATATGTGCATTATGCAAATATGTGCATTCAGGCCTTCAACATTTGAACATGTGCAAGGTGGGTTCAGGAAGAGCCATTAGATTCCTTCCATGTCTTATGCTAATTTTAATATGTGCTGCGACACTGCCAGGAAATAAACCGCCCTGCCATTTTATTGCCATGCCACAGTTACTCTGCCAGAAACAGCAAAGCCATCAGAGTGAAGCCTCTCTTTTTTGTTCCAAATGCACACAACAGTCAACACGTAACTCTACAACTAGGGCATTTTTATTTAAGCAAATAAACCGACAACAAATACTGACCACGAAAAAATATTTTCATATGCAACTGAGGTGGTATGGAAATCTTTTCCTATGCAGTGCAAGCTGCAATAATATTCACTTTAACTTAAGTAAGTTCACTAACCGGCAGCTGAACTCTTTCTCAAACATCAATTTCCTCTGGATACAGAATCCGACTCCAGAGTTTGGGTCAGACCCAAATCCATTAAAACGCTTCACCATTCATATGAGAACTAAAGTCATAAAGGCCCAGGACAAGACAAGTTCTTGCTGATGAAAATCAACAGCTTGGTAACTAACAGGAAATGCTGATTATAACAGAACACAGAACTGTTGACATTCCCACTGTCACAAACAAACTACCTGCCTCCTTTTTACATGTCAGATCATGTTATTTAAGATGAGTTAGGAGATAACAGATAGAATTTAAGTAGAAAACAAGCTTAGCAGGGAACATGGGATGATCAGTACTAGTGTGTGTGCAACAAGGCAGCGCTTTGCCTGCTGCACCTGCTGCTAGTTTCTCTTTTTTTCTATTAAGAGTTGCTTCTTTTTTTTTTTCGTGACACCCGACTTTGTTAGGTCACAATCGTTCACACTTTAAGCATTAGTTGGGTCATGGCATTCTTTATTCATACGTACTATATTTCACTTATTAAAGAATCAGTTATTGAACCATGTTTTAATAGGCCCAGTCCGGCAACACATGGACGTCTTAAACAGTCAAATAAAATGCAGTTGATCTTGACAGTAAAAACACAATACAGCCAACAGATTGTTCAGAAAATAGCATTGTTCAAAAAAAGGACTCTACCCGTATCTGCGCTTCCTAGAGCGGGATCTTGAGTGACTTCTGGAGCGAGATGTGGAGCGGGATCTTGACCGGGACCTTGACCGGCTCCGAGATCTCGAGGCAGATTTTGTGGATCTGGACATCACTGCAGCCAGCCCACCTCAAACTGTCACACAAAAGAGTTGTACAACCGAGTTAGGATTGTCGGAAAGTGTAACAAAGCAAACAATGCACGTGTAAAAAGATTTCAATCACCTTTTCAAGGCAATGGCTGCATAGAATGGACATTAACAACTGAATGAACAGTTAGCACAGAAGAAAAAATAAACTCAAATAGTGGCAAGAGTAAAAAATCCATGAAATACAATATCCAACAGAGATAAGCCATCCAAGATGTGCTTCAAAAGCTGAGTGAAGAAACGGAACAGCTGTGAAAAAGGAAGAGGGCAATCTGTGGAAGTGTAGGGCATCCGAACAGAACCAGTTTTATTTAGTCGCTGATCATTTGCATAGAGGGCAGTCTTACGTCATGTCATCTGACAACTGTTGAGCCCAATATTAAATAAAATATAAAGATACGGTTATCAGCAACATATAGCATACATTCTGTATTTCTACCACTGCAGAAGATAGCCAGTAAATCATCTAAAATAATCTAAAAACTGATGATAAAAAATGTTTGTTCTCTAGTCTCTGTTTTCATGAGAAAAGATAACAGAGTTAACTATTTGCCTTCTAAGTCAGTTTCAGTCCATCACTGAATTTCTTTGAATGATTAACTCATAAGATAAGTCTCTCCAGTCTTCTCTAAGCCTCAAAACATATCCACACGTATATCTTGAATATACTCTTATTATATATACTCTATATACAAAATTTCCCATTTAGTTGAAACGTGAACTCCATCTTAAACTACTAAGAATTTGACAGCTAAACAAAGTTAAAGATATGAACAGATGTGGCTTAAAATATATAGCAGAAATGATCATTTTGAGGAAGTAATATAAGATCATATTATAACATGCTTGTCAAATATAAAATGCCTCAGCTCAGTGAAGCCACGTTTTAGATTGGTCTAATCTAGTCTTCACTTGGTAGTTTTTATAGGGCTTCATCACTTACGATTAAAAGCCCTGGTTACTGTTAAACTCACACATGATGGGTCCAAGGTTTAATACATAAAGTCACTGTCTCCACAGATTGATAGATTGTCTGTCTACAAAGATTGATAGGAAAATAGCTATTTCCTCTGTAGCTACTTTGCCATATCGCTTTTGCTTGTGGTTAATGATCTGCTATGAATCTGCTACCAGAGAGATGCTCACTTGGGACCGCATGCTCAGTGCACTCAGACTTAACTTTACTTCAAAGGATGTTTTTTTCTTCTCCAGTGCTTCACTTGTATACTCCCCCGAATTATGAACACCATCCTATAGTAGGAGCATCTAGTTCTATCCACGGCCCACAAGGCATTATCTGTGACATATGATCCTCGGAGTACAGTAAATGCCAGGGATCAAATAATTGATCTTTCATTATGAGAGTCATCTTCAGGGACTTTGGAAGGAGGAAATTGCAGACTACACATGACAGGGATTTCAAAAGCAGCGCACGCTATCACATGGTGGTCCCAGTGTGTATCCTTTCTACTATTTTGGAGGGTATTGAAATGGATCCATCTTCCCCCGCCTCCTCTGCATGCTCTATGAACTTCCCACTCTCCTCATTCCTGGCAGCTTGTTGTTTTTGGCTTTTAGAGAATAATTTCCTGAAGGTCCAGCCTCAACAGACCGTCAATTTTGCTTACTGTGCACAATTCGAGAATGGCATTCAGATGTGCCCCTTTCCAGCATGTGGTAGCTAAACAGTAAAATAAATACATTGTAACAACAACCTTCTTCATTTTGCTGTATATACTAAGTAAGTTAGCCTTGTGGGAAATTCTTGACGAAGAGGAAGTTTCATTCTCATACATTATTCTCAGTTTGTTATAGAAACTGAAATAACATGCTTCAAACTGGCACATCTGTGTTTCAGACATTTTCATATGGCTGAAAAAAGTTTCCATGAAACTATTGAATGCGTGTCAGCAGAAACTGTATACAAAACAGTTATATAAAGTTAAAGTTAGCCAAAGTGACAGTTACATGATGGCTTCATTAACATATAATAACCATATTTTAGGCATAATAATATAATAATGTAATAAAGTGCATCCCAAGCACTGTCCTCCTGTATAGAATATAAAAACTAGTTTATAGAATTGAATGGTGGGATCTGTTACGATGGCCTCTCTCTAAACGCTCGATTGATAACCAGCTGCAGCTGTCCCCACTCCACACTGTGTGGTCGGCAGCCTAATCACTGAGATTTCAGCCCCTCTAAAAGACTGTGGTAAGCCTGGTCTTTAATCTCTCACTACTAGATTTGCAAAGTTACTGACAATCATGCATACAAATGCACACACACGTGTCTTACTGTACTTGTGAAGACTTTTAGTTGAATGTCTGCTTTCTCGCACTGAACTAACCACTTCACCAACTGCCAACCTCATCCATACGCTTATCAGCAACTGAAATGACATTTCTATTAAAACCATTACACTTGTCAACTCTGTACCAAGTCCTGCAACATCTTTCCTGGTTTCAGCCTCAGACTTTTGTTTGTTGTTGAAAAATTATGTAAGATTTTTGGAATGCATAGAGTCATAGAATAATAGAGAATAATGGTAATTATAATGATAATTAACCAGTGATTAACTTCTTTTGTCTGATAACTTAATTGGCAACCTTTTTATAATTGGCAAACAAAAGAACAACACAGTAATAACAGGAACAACATGTGAAACTAGAAAAGCAGGTCTTCAACATTGTTGGTATAAAACAATTGCGGAAAAGAACTGAAATGAACAGAACAGATCATGGTTGCAAATACATGCTTCAAATGGTAAAACTGAATTAAACTGATAATGGTTCTCACATGGACAGAAGTTCATGACCACGCACACACACACACGCGCACACACATGATTAAGAGCCCCCCTTGGGGTAGAAAACGACAGCTGTATAATCCTCATCACCTGTTTATTTCATGTAACGGCAAAAGTAGCTCTGATCAACAATGGTCCAGCAACTTGATACACAGCTCAAAGCGTACAAGAAGAAACAACCCACTCAATCAACTACACTATCATTAAGACTGGGATGCCACAGTGGCAGCTGGAATTACATTTGCTATCTATATGTGCCCCTGGGACACCCCGCTAGCTATTTCAGAAAAGCCACAGCAACTGTCATTGGCACAATCTTTGGTTATTGAAATGTGGCAGTGCCTCTTAGTATCCCCTCAAGACACTTCACATGCTGAGGCAGTTAATGGATGGCAAAGCCGTTGGCAGTGCTGTTTAAGACGAGATAAACCGCTCAGCTTCCTCCGTGGGTTATTAAATGAAGAAAAACAAACTTCCAAAATAGGCTGATTCATTCAGCTACATCTGGATGAGTCTTAAGTGACTTTTGTTTTGGGAGCTACTGTAACTGCTAGAAAGGCAAACAGAGATGACCTCATGCAGAGATTTCCTGCAACATTATCCTTTGCTAATCACCTACCATGACGGATGAAGACACCATTCAGCTTGACGTTGAACTTGTCGTAATGATAACATGATCCCAGTTGCAGCTAACCTTCTGCTAGCAAAGTTAGTTCAATATCACTCTCAGCTGATTTTGGTGCAGATTTGTTCTGCTTTTTATTATTACATTTTATTCGAAAACGTTATTTAAAAACAATAATCAGCAGTTAATAAAGGTTTGGCCTGGCACGGTGTGGTTTCTACAATGCATATGAGGCTACCTTTGCCTGGAAAATGGCATACGGCAGAGTGTCAGTGAGGCATCCTCACACCGACATGCTTCTGAGCTATCTGTCATCACCGCGTCTGTGGGACTGCACACAAGAGAGAACTCATCAGCTGAAGGTCCTCTCTATTTTAGTCAGTTGTGAACAGCTTGGCAAATGATGAGTTATAGTTCTATGTTTCCAAAATGTGTACAGTTGTCTGCCTTTTTTCCTCCGCCTTAATGTCTCGGCATAAAAGCTGGAGACGCAGTTGGTGTTTATGTTGTTGATGAAGGGTGGCATGCTGTTTAACCAGAATACTTTCCTTCCTGCTGAAACACCAGTTGATTCAATTTATTGAGGAGTGTAGGTTGCTTGCAGACAATTAAAATGTTCTTCTCTAAAGAAATGGCACAAATGTGAGCACTTTCTCTCTCAATATTGGCAACATGTTTAATACACATAGCAAGTTAAATAAATGATCAGAATCTTTAGTAGCACACACAAAAGTGAAAACAAAACTAAGTGTGTCATAGTACTACTTCAGTATGTGCCAGCATACTAAGATATGCCAATGGACACACCTTTTCATTGTGTGTGTACAAGCTGGAATTTGTTAAGGAGGATTGACCTCAACCAGGATCCTGCAGCCCAACAGGATATTGCACTATAATGTTTTCTAAACTTTGTTTGTTTTGTTTTTTTCTCACAACATTGAGCTCCATAAATAGATCACATCACCCATCTAGATAAGAGTTTACAGGAAACTCCTGTCAAAGTTACAATTCTTAATATATAACGTGTTAGAGTTGGTTCAAGATTGTGGCTGTTTACACTGGGCGGAGGGACAACTTGGTGAAACCTGCAATCACAACATGCTGTCATTGGGCTAACCACAGAAAACAGCAGTCATATAAATGGTAAAATTACAACAACTCCTTATACTGAGGTGCCCCTTAGAATTCTCCGGTGGTCCGAGGATGCACTTTGGAAATCTCTGAACCATAAAACACTTTTTAAGATATAAATGTTAAAGCTTGAAGCTTCCAGATAATTATTTAACCCTCCCTTTCCCAGATATTTTCACTATGACACCTCAATGCAGGTCATGTCCTGGATGGGGAAGAACTCATTCCTCATCAATCAATACAGAAAATAACAAATCAATCAGGAATACTTCACATCACATGAGGAGAGCATTAGCTCCCTTTTGAAGCTGAAATAGCCCTAGATGGTCAGGCAATTCACTAGCCAAATCTCGATACTTTTCCAGTCCGTATTTGCCAGAAATATAATTTAAAAGCTGGATTTGGTGGTGAGTAATATTTCATACAGTGACTTTTTGGCACGGATTTATCCTTACGCTGCGCAACTTCCCTCTGAACGACTGTAAGCCTCGTTCCCATGTTGCTGCCAGTGGAAATACACTATTTTCCAAACATTTTATCTCCACTTTCAATTAAATTATTACCAACCAGAGAGAAAAAAAAGCATAAAAAAGACTTGGTACTACTTACCGGTCGGCGTTGTCGTGCAGCGTTGTTGCGTCACATTCAGGCAGCCTGTGTGATATTGCAGAAACCCGTTAAAGACACTTTCTCCCTGCACTCCTGTGTGTCTGTGCTGTTGTGCCCAGTTAAAGTCAAGTGTCTGTGTAAGTGTTTGTGTGGGTGTGTGTGTGTGAGTGTGTCGGCTGGTGTCTGCGGCGTTGAGAGAAAGGGGGTGTGATCGCTCCGTGCCGCTCAGAGGTTCATATTTCCTTCCGCCTTCTACCGCTGTCTGTCATATAACGCTTTCGTTACATCCGAGCGGAGTCCAGTAAACCGTGCATTAAAGGTGCTAAAGACTGATAGGTCCTCCGCCCTTCAGTGACATGATTCTGCATGGGAACATAATAATGTCTGATGAAAACTCACGGTAGTAACGGTGATCCTAGGGAACAGCTACTGGGGGGAACTGTGATTGTCGTGCACAGTGGTGTAAAGTGACATTTATTATAGCGGTAGCCTATTGTGAAATTACTGGAGACGATGAAACTTCCTTGTTCCTTTTGGCTCATCACCAACTCTTAGTAAATAGTCCAGTTTTTTATTTCTATCTTCATGGGCCACTTACACTCTGGACACTGTATTGGGTGCACCTGTAGGTTACCAGCTGCTGTAACATCTATCTTTACTCATAACGTTCAGTTTTTGGTGTCAGAAGTGTTTAAAAAAATCAATTTTATGTGGTTTTATTGCCCATTTACATGCAGTGCATACATTCCAGTACAACATAATCACTTACTATAAGCCTCAGTGCTAAATATCACCTCTATTGGAGTGTCAACAAAAACTGTTTGAGGTTTTTAAGGCAGAACAGTTCTGTTGGATTGTATTAGGCTGTACATGTATACCTAATGAAGTAGCTAGTGAGTGCATATTTCAGCAGGGAATGTACTTTTCACTCCACAACATCTGATTGTCATAGCTTCTAGATACATGCAGATAAATTAGACCAAAAAAAAACTGTATCGCATGGTCTGCAGATATTTTTCTATATGTTTCACTCCATACTTGTACTTGACAGTAGTCATTCCTGCAAATGCATTTTAGTTACCCTAAAGCAATTAATTAAAAAGTATATTGAGACTAGCCTTTATTACATGTTCTGAGTTGAAACCAAGCTTTACTGTTCTGCCTTTCGATATTTGGTATTCATTCTCTGTGTTCCGAATGGTGGCCTAAGCCCTTGTCGACTTTGTCCGAGTTGTGCTTTTATATTTTCATGATCTTTCAATTAATTGACTTTCAGTTCATATTTCATAAATTGTTAAGTGTTAATTCAATGACCAGAGAAATAATAACTTCCAAGCCTGCAATGCCACTTCCAAATCAAATGGGTTCAACCTTGTATATGAAAATGACTAAAGGTGAAAATACACACCACTATATTACTCTATCAAAAACATCAATTTAATGTGGATGTTCATCAGGTATACAGACAAGCCCTCTCAACAATCTTCTCTTTTTAGAGATCCCTCACTCTCAAAAAGGTTGGAGGCCCCTGCTGTATAAAAAAGATTCAACTCTTGATCCATTTATTCAACTTTCATGACACCTGTTTTAAGGGACAAACACAAATGGAAAATACTGCTTGCAATAGACTCCAGCATTACCCGTTATTGGCGTGTGATTGTTATAAAATCAATTGAGCTGTGGGTAATCCTATTTAGAATAGGACTACGGTTTTATCAAAACAGCTGAAAGTACGGCTGACTGGAAATGAAAGCACAACTTTTTAATAGATTGCAGTTGTTTTTATGACTAAGCCAAGTGAAAACACTAGATCCATTCAATTCTCTGAATACTTATGAGTTACAGATCATCTGCGCCATATTTAAAAGGAGTGTTTAAAATTCATTGATGGTTTTTTTCCTTTTTATTTTTCTACTTGGACCTGAATACCATGGGTGGTTTAAATGTGTAATCACTGTTTTCAGTTATATCTACTATTTATTAAATCTTCCGTTGTGTCATTACATTGGTAAATGTTAGCCATGCACTGATATGTACCATGTTAATGATATGTACCATCCTATGTTATCTTAATGGCCCCCAACTTTAAAGGGTAATTCTAAGTGTAAACCCTTTGAACTCATAGGCGGGCACATTCATGTATGCACATGCATATGTACAGTGCCTAACCCCCCTCTCCCCCAAAAGTCCAACACTGTATCCCACTAACAGAATTTCACTGGTATGGGTTTCAGTCGAGGGTTTTAGTGGCTCATGATCTGTATCGGAGGCTTTCCCATCCTGCCAAGAATAGGTCTCTTGGAAAAATGCTAAAATTTTGCAAGTTTGGCATGAAAATGTTTAACTTTCCAGATGCTAATCATTGGTACATATTGGTTGAAATGCTGATGAGGTTACTGAGGCATTGAGGCTTTTCCATCTCTTCATTGAAGGCTGCTTTATAGAGCAAGGAATGGTAGATATTAGGACAAACAAAAATATCTTCTGAATAACTGAATGATAAATAAAAAAGCATGTAGTTTTGTGAGGGACTTTTCCAAGCTTTATTTAAATAATCTGTGTTATTCTATCAAGTATGTCTTTAATATGATTCTAGGATCTCTTATCTTCTGTTTTTCCTGGCTTGTTTTCAATATCAATATGTTCAACATTCATGAAATCCAGTGTTCATGTGGCTGCTGTGTAAACTTTATTTTCCTTCCCCTTGGAATGAGCTGCATAAAAGCACTACTGAAACTATTAAAAAATATTGTTATTATGTCTGCAGTACACAGTAGCCAACAAAAGAGTCTACACTCCGCAGACACTTTTCTTTCACAGTCCCAAAACAAAGTTGTTAATCATCCTGATAAGACAAGTAAAATAGCATGACATGTTTATATGCATGGATCAAACCTAACATGGAAAATATAATTTCAAATATACGGCTGTCCTCTATCATTTCTACCTAGACATAGCCTGCTCGCTATCTACAAAAGCAACATACTTTGGGATTTCTGGACTTGAAGTGAAGACATCCTCTTGGATTTGGACCTTTGATCTCTTAATAATCACCATAAATCTTAATGTAGAGCAGACAACATTTACAGGGTGATAATTTTCTTAAAAGCTGCAGTAAGAGAGACTTCTATGTGGGAATTACAGAAGCTTAATTTGAGACTTAATGGGGCATTAGAGTCATCTGTACAATTTCTGGTCTGTATGGGGGTGGGAGTGTCCAGAGTGCCCTTTTCAAATAAGAAATAATGTTTTTGTCCTCACACTGTATCTTATGGTTGTAAAAGATATATACACCATTTATACTTGTTGAGCTGTATGAGACTATGCCCAGCAGTCTACTCTACTACTGCTAACACATCATTGTGCTCCTCTGTTTTCAAGCATTTTTATTTACTTTTTAGAAAATAGAAAATAGAAAGACTATAATTAAAAATATACATACACTGTGCAATATGCAAGTAAGAAATATGGGGTGCACTTTTAAGCTACATCTAGATGTAGAGTAAATATATCTCTTCCCTCTCTGTTCAGGAATAATGTGAACTACAGCAGACAGTGTATATTTGCATTGGAAATATTTTCACCCATAAATGGCTACAATATGTTGCGCACATGCCACTAATGTATCCTGGATAGGCCTCTGAAGTGCTCATTTGATTCATTCAGAATATGACTACCAGGAAATTGACACAGTAGAATACACTAGTCGGCCAATGTAGGCAAAGTGGAGATAAATGGTTAAAGATGCAAGGCAGATTAGACAGGAAGTGATGTGTTTATATTTTTTTAAAGTCGGTCTCCTTGTTAAGATCTCTAAGTTTTAGCCTTGTTACGTTGTCTTCTTATTAGGCGCCAAGAAAAACAAAATGTTCTTACAATACAAATTCCATGCAGTGTGCAGTATGGAATGGCACTATATATTTCTGCATCTGTACAAAATATATATGTATTTATGGTTAATTACTACTGGAAATCCAATACCCCAAGAAAATGTTTGTAAAACTAGGAAAGGAATAGAAAGTTAAATATTTGTGACTTTGTAGTCACGCTAGCTCTGGGAATGGCAGTCAGTCTGTTAGTCTGTCCATACTTCAACAACTATTGGGTGGATTGCCATGCAATTTGGTGCAGACATTCATGGTCCCCAGAGGATGCACCCTAATGACTTTGGTGATCTCAAACGATTTTCATCAGTGACTTTTCAGCAACTATTGGAAGGATTTCCATTAAATTTGGTGAAGACAATCATGTACCCCTCAGGATAAAAATTAATCTCCATGTAGCACCATCATTTGGTCAAAACTTGAATTTGTCCAATATTTTCTATGAGCAAATGTCTGTAAAACAAATGACATTTCCACTATCCTCATCTGCAGCAAATGCTATGCTAACACACTGAACGAAGATGGTGAACATTGTAAACATACCTGCAAAACATCAGCATTGTCATTGTGAGCATGTTGCATCGTGACTAGCATTTAGCTCAAACCATCTGTGTACAGCCTAACAGAGCAACATGCACGGCTGTAGGCTCTTTTTTTATAATAAAAACTTTATACACTCAAATTATTATTATTATTTTGGCAATTTTTTTGTGAGGCACTCTCTGGCACACTTCTCTGTCATGATTTGGCATTTGCCCACCAAAATGACTCCCTCAACATACTGTATTGTGCCACAGTTGCCCAATTGTAGTGATTTATAATGTCAACAATTTCAAAAAACTATTTCCTGACAGTTTATAACCTTCACAATGTCTTTGCTGAAAGTCAGTCCTGGGATGGCCCTGCTTTAGCACCTACAGTTTGCCCTGTGGCCCCTTCCCATCCATCTCTCTCGCCTGTTAGCTCTACATCATATCGCTACTGTCCAGACACCAGTCAAGTTATTTTGGGCAATCCCTCTGACACCCACTTTCTCCCTCTGTGCAGGGATAAAAGAGTTCATACTCCCCCTACTTTATATCCTTCCCACCTGTTGGAGCTGTCCATCTCCTTGCTGACATGCCTAAACTCACAGAGCTTCAACATTATTTCTAATTACTGCACCTAAAAACCCCCAGAGATGATGGATTGTGGAGGATCACCAGCGACATGTTACTGCTGCCTTTATATAACCTGTACATAAGATTTCTCAGGAAGTTTAGCTGTATTGGAGTAGGTTAAT